ATTATCTAAATATCTAAATATCTAAATAAATTTAACGTTACGATTTAATTTAATTTAGATAGAGTATACCCTTAATTTAATTTAATTTAATTTACTAAGATTTAGATAGATTTAGATTTAATTTATTTATTAATAAGCCTAGACTAGCTTGCTAACTCTATCTAATCGAGCCCGGCTTAGATTAGATTTTATCGGCGCTTCTCTATATTTAGCGGATTAGGATAAGAGGGGAGTGATAGATATTTTAGGGTAACTACCTAAGCCTTATAATCCTCCTTAATAGCGTGGCGAATATCACTACCACTAGACTTATTGGGCCAATTAGGTTTAAACGGATTATACGTAGTAGGCAGCTTAGTAAGTAGCTGCAATTAATTATAATTAATTGCAATCGGACCTCCGCGCTAAGCCATATTAATCAATTGTAGCTGACCCCCCATTGCAATTGAATTGATTGATTAGCAACACTGAATGCAGTAGGAACCAACCCTCCCGGTTGAGTCGCCCAGTTGTATACCCAGCTCACCGGACTATCCTCGAATGCCCATGTCAAATTGGGGTCGTTGTAGCAAAGACCCTTTCCTGACAGAACGGAGTCTATGGTTGGAGATGGCTCTGGGACAACCATAGAAGGTGTCGTGAATCCATCACTCCACCTGGCGTACGATCTTCCAATGCTGCTAGATTCAATTGGCACCAGAGAGGAGTCCGAGTAACATGCTGGTACGTTGTGCATAGGCACGAACTCTGTGACCATGAGTGGCTGCGACACGGTGGTCGTCAACGATCTTGCTGGTGAAATTGAGAGATTACCCATTCTGCATTACTGTGTGCAGTACAATAAGTCTGTATCATAAAATATTGATGGATTTTTTCCACCAAGATCAACTTCAGATACCTCGCCACCTCGTACTGACTGTAATGTGGTCCAATTTGTCTTGGTGTTTTGCAGAACAAATCGAGGTTCTCTGCAACCCCCAAGACCACAAGAAGGTCCACGTCCATTCTCCAGCTGGACCACTGCTTTCCAAGGACCACCTTCCCTGTTGGATTAGAGACTTGTCAATTCTTTCATCCTTTCGCACAGTGCTCCGGGTTAGGCTTGGCCATTCCTTGCGGCAAGGAACGGCCGCTAGAAGCAGAACTAGACATGGCGGAACGCCACGATATATTCAGAGAGCAAAGCAGCGCTGCAAGCCATCGCGAACCCCGGGCGGCGGACGGCGGTGTCCCCGGTGCCATGGCTTGACACTAGGTTCAAAGCTGCTGTTCTTTGTCAGTTACCAGAGACTGGAATCCAGTGATCTCAACGGTTCGGTTTACCATTTGAACCGAACTGAACTTACCGCCAAGATTCGGTTCAATTCAATCCTCTCAAAAAACCGACGGTTACCGGTAAACCAACGGTTTACCGCCAAGACTTGATGGTGGCGTTAACCAAGTGTCAACTGGTCGCCAAAGAACTGGAGAAACTTCATGACAGCCAGTAGGTGGATACTGAATACCTTCGTCTGGAACGAAGATATCAGTTGAAGTTTACCCCTTATTGTAATGGCTTGGTGGCTAATCTAGGGCCCTTACTACCCACTTAACCGCCTCTGATTCTGATAGAGTTGAGACCTGACGAGAACAAATATTTCTTAGAATACTAATGTAAATGATATCTAAAATCACCTTCTCTATTTCAGTTTGAGAAACGAAGGACGTCTATCTTGCGCACCTTGATCCTACAACATAGAAGTTCATCACGAATAATGGCGTCTATATCCCCGGAGCCATCGGTTGGACGATCAGTTGAATCGTCAGTCGAGCTATCGGTTGAGCCATCAATCGAACTCACAACCGCCACCTCAACGGCACCATCCCCCCCGCCTGCTATTACCGGGCATCCAGAGCCGCCTGAGCGTATTATTGATCCTACTAAAGGCACCTTCATACGCTACTCCTCTCTTGCTCAAAGCGGCAATCGAGATATAAGGTGATGGGTATGGAGATATGGCGCTCGGTATCGTCAAGAAGGTCGTCAGAATGGTGATGAAAAGGACCATTTCTACTGTCATCTCTGTTCTCGTCAGAAGTGGCCGATGTTAAATGGAACACAAGGAGCAATCCAACACTTATCGAGATCTCATGGCATAACGAAATTTGGAACTTCGTCATCAACGGCTGATCAGGGGTGTTTGGAGTCAGGTTTTGAACACCAGCGTTTGGTATCGCAGAGTGCTTTCGATTAGTTCAAAGAGCTCCTTATCCGGTGGATCGTCTACTGCTATATCGCCTTCTACCAGGTTGAGAACGCCTATTTTCGCGAGCTTATTGGCTTTTTAAGTCCGAAAGTGGTAATAAAGTACATGCCAAAAGCCGCCAATACAATACGATCTTGGATCAAAGAAGCCTTTCAATCCAGAAAAGCAGCACTCCGAAACGATCCCCAACGCGCCCGAAGCAAGATCTCCGTTTCGTTTCATGGCTGGACGTCTCCTAACCATCGCGGCTTTATTGGCGTTGTTGCAATATTTATCGATACAAATGGGCAACGCCGAATAACAGTACTTGGCGTCAGACGGCTTGAGGGCGAACACACTGGGGAGAAGATTGGTGAAGCTGTTATGAAGGTACTTGAAGACTATAGCATCTATGGAGACCAGGTTGGGTACTTTATACTTGACAATATCAAGTCAACTGATACTGTAGTTGACTATATACTACGAAAGCTTTGCCCAAGCCTTACGCCTCGACAGCGCCGTCGCCGACGTCTCCGCTGCCTCGGCCATGTTGTCAACCTCTGTTGCAAGGCTTTTCTGTTTGGGAAGGATGCAGATAAGTTCGTTGAAGAGCTAGAATGTCACAATCAGCGCGGGGATTTTGATGCAATTGACTTACACTGGCGGAAACAGGGCTGCCTTGGCAGACTCCAGAATCTTGTCCGATATATTCGATGTACTCCTCAGCGACGTGAAGAGTTCGCAAGTATCCGCTGTGGGGGGAATTTAACTGAGTTTGATAACTTGGAGGCGAGTGTTTCATTTCATCACCTTTCCGGGCTTTCCCTTCTGCTTCCCCGTTTCTTGTAAACAGGATCTAACAACCATCTTTAACAGTTGATTCAAAGCAACTCTACACGCTGGAACTCATGGTATCACTCAATTACTCGTGCTCTTAATGTTCGGGAGCGTCTTAATCTCTTCTGTTCACAGCATGTAGCTCCAAGAGGCGCAAAAGACTGCAAAGACTTCAAACTTGAACCACAGCACTGGTTTGAACTTGAGGAGATCCATACAGCACTTCATGACTTCTTTGAGGCGACAATGATCACCCAAGGCAAACGAGCCTACCTTTCTGACTGGTTCTCAACCCTGGACTGCCTCCTCACCGAGATTAATAATTCCAAGTGCTATTACCAAGGCCTCGTGTCGGATAATTATGGAAGGGGGAAGGAACGAAAGGAGCAATTTACTTACCACTATTTAAAAGCTTGTGCAGAGGCAGCTTGGGAGAAATGCGAAGAGTATTACTCCAATAAGCAGCTCAACTGGCAGAAGCAGTATCCGGAAGACTATGATCTTCCACCAGCCTATTATGCTGCTCAAGTACTGGACCCACGCGTGAAATGGGCTTAGTTTGAACAGGAATGGGTGTATAGCAATAGCCCTGAAAAGAAGGCGTGGTTTGAACGTGCCCAAATTGCGGTGAAGAAGCTTTGGGAGGAAGAATACCAAGGGCAATACTCCATCAACACTGACGAGCGGCAGGATGCCGACATACCCCAGCCTATAGTATCACGGACGTTTGAGCGCCAATTTAACAATAAACGCATCCGAATCAGCGCACCCCGCAACGTCGATCTATACGAACATTACTGCGAGAGCGATCTTATCCCTGGAGGTCTCTGCGAGGACGACAAGGCTCTTGAGTTTTGGAACGACAGATATAACTCACAAAGAGATCTCGCACGGTTCGCACTAGATCTGCTGGGTATATCACCAATGTCTGACGAATGCGAGAGGCTGTTTAGCAGTGCTAAGCTCCTAATTACTGACCGACGAAACCGCTTGCTCGACGACATTATCGAAGCAGTAGAGTGCCTTCAGTGATGGTTTGGAGCTCCAGCGGCTGACGCATTTGATGGAGTCGATAGGGAATAGTATAACATCCTGCAATCGCTGTATGAACTACTTTCCCGCCACCTCACTGACATCATATATCACATAATCACGTGTCGGTTTATATTGGTATTACTGGTAACTGAACTGAACTTACCGCCAAGACTCGGTTCAATTCAGTTCATGGGTCTGAATTGAATTGAATTGAACCGTTGAGATCACTGTTTCCGACCGTAGCCTATGTCGGAGCCACGGATCGTCATATCGTGTGGCGAGCTACCAATGTTTCCAGCATCCGTATTCTTTAAGACCATGTCTTCAGGTTTATTCTAGGTGTGGGTATGGCGATTGCGCTTGATATTTTGTCTACAAGACGAAAAGGGATCATGATCGGACTGCACAAGGCTGTATTCAGTAAGAGCCATAGGGTGATCCATCTGGCCATCTTAGAAGACAGTTGACCCTGACATACTCCCTATAAAGTCGAATGCTTTGATAAGCCGATGTTGCTTATTGAACTTGCAATTCCGACCTGAAATGTAACGTATTGGAGATTGAGAGCACTGTAAAGAAGAGGCAAAGATCTGGAAGAAGAGGATTCGAGAGTTCGGGAAATCGGCATTCGATAAGAGAAACCTTGTCTTAACTTATAACACCTTTAAAGCTATGTACAAATAAAAGGAAATACAGGGTTCGTTCCGTTAGTTCGGGCCATCTCGAGTTATATGGGTCAAAAGAAAATGGGAAGCGCGTGTCGCCGTAAAGAACTAGACAGGACATCAGCCCGTGTTCCTATACTAGTACAAGAAACCCGTCAGTGTAGTGACACCTGTGGTGGAGCGAAAGACAATTCCCATTGTTTCATTACTTTACTTATTCCTTAGGTCGTTCCTGACACTACGCCTCAAATTTGACCTGTCGAAACATCTTCTTCAGGTCTTGAGCAATGAATTCTGGGTTCTCCCAAGCCGCGAAATGACCACCAAACTCAGCCTCGCTCTCATAAACGACATCGCCAATAACGCTGGCCCATAGCCCTGGGGCATCTACAATCTCTTTGGGCATATGGGTGATGCCATATTTCACATGTGGGGTCCATGCATTCGTGAAAGTTTGCGGGAGATCGGGATCATGAGCGGTTGCGAACTCAAAATATATCCTAGAGCTTGCTGCTGGGCCGGCAGTCGAAAACCAGTAAATGCACACCCAGGTCAAGATCTCATCATCCGTCCACGGATAATTATCTGACCAGCCATGTAGCTTCTCCCAGATCCATGCAAGCAGGAAGGCAGGACTATCAGCCAGCCCGTAGGCAAGTGTCCGCGGCTTCGAAGATTGGAGCAAGAGATAACCTGTTCCACTTTTCAGGAAGTCCTGTTGCCGCTGAACACGGTCCTTTTCTTTGTCGGATAAACCCCAAAACAGGGACTTAAAATAAGTCCACGGATTCTTCAGTACGTTCGGAGGGCCAATGGGCAACATATTGATGTGTGATGCCATACAAGATTCGGGATATAGCCACCCAATCGCACGGGAAACGGTGAATCCCCAATCGCCTCCCTGAGTGACTTTAGAGCGGTATTAGCCATTACGTCCTATCGTGGACTAGATGGAAAACCGACCGTATGAGTTATAGCCCAAGGTTTTCATCAGTTTGTGACAGACTTCGGCGTACTGTTTGACACCAAAGCCCTGCTTACCGGAAGAGCCTTGTGAAAAGCCGAAATTGGGCAAAGACGGTGCCACGACGTGGAAATGAGGGCCTGGGACCCTAGAATTCGTCAATAAAGATAGCATCTTTGAACACTCCCCAAAGTGTCCTGGCCCTGAAGTTTGCTCAAGTCAGCGGGAAACAGTCAACACATTGAGAGATGATCATGTCGAGCTAATAGCGAGGAATAGCCTACATCCGTGGATGAACAAAAGGGGGATCGCTCGCTCGTTTTCACTCCTGGAATGGATGAAGTGAATATCGAGCTCTCCATAGCCCCTATCCATTGCGATAGGGACACGGAAATGCGGCAGGGCGTTCAGCCTCTGTTCTTGGACGCGCCAGTCATATCCATTTTTCCAATACTCGACGAGCCGCCGTATTTCTCCTGGCGGGACACCCTCTGTCCAATTCGAATCATCCCACTCATCTGGAAGCCTTAGGTTTGTTAACTTTGCCTTCAAATCCTGCAGCTGTTCGTCGGGAATTGATATTATGAAAGGTTCAGCCTTTCGGAACGAACCATTCCCAGCACACGTGTGAGAGGTCATAGTGACAGTCATATGCACTATTAAGGATTCACGGGTTGTTGATCGTACGGAACGAAGCGAAGCAGTATATATAGGGTTTCTTAGCTCGGATAAATCGTTGATTGGTAAATCCTAATTGATTGGCTTTGAGCGAGTTGCAATCCCGTGGCTTGGGAAGTTCGGATACTCTTCTGCTGTTGTGCCTACCTCATTATCCTACAGGGTGTAGCGTGGTAGCATTACATCCCAGAAAATAGCATCATAGCACGCTCGTAGAATCGTACTTTGAGATTAAATGATGAGCTATTAGCAAGTCTTGGAAGAGAGTACTTACGTGACACAAGAGGGGGTTCCGGGGGTGTCCCATGAAAATAATAGGTACTCTTTAAATAGTAACAGAATGAGACGCCGCTAGTAATATTAGTCTCAAGTATGTTCTAGGCACTCTAACTACTCCTCCGCTGGTTGACTTAGGCTCTATTTATTTTGTGTCAGTGTGCCAGGGATTCTCCACCAACGAAGGCATGGTAGAAAAATTCTATTTCGAAACACCGAAAGCATCCTACGGTACAGCAGGCTGTTCTTGTCCGCTTCCCTAATTAGCCAGAACTTAGCCGGTTTTCAGGATCACATAGGCTGCTGTGCTCGGAGATGGAGAGCTTGGGGCCCGGTACTAACAAGGTGCCCCGATGTCCCTCTTTTCTTTGGTCCCGTCCAATTCACATTTCTAGAACACCTTCGATCATCTCAATATACCTGGCACTACCCATAGCACACCCTAGGTTGTACCTTCCTGCTACCAGCAGTGTACTCTGCCCAAAATGACAACAGAAGCTGCCAGCCAACGAGTTATCATAGCTGGGGGAAGCATCTCTGGCCTGACTCTAGCACTTGCCTTGCAGTCGGCAGGAATTGATTTCTTGGTACTAGAACGTCGCGAAATCGCCCCCCAACTGGGAGCATCGACCGGAATCCACCCGTTTGGACATAACATTTTGCACCAGCTCGGTGTCCATCAGCATATCGCAAAACTTGGGATACCACTGGTTGCGGGGAGAAGTTATGATGATTACGGCAATTTTATCGAGAAGGACATTTCAATCCTTTCAAAGCATACCACAAGGTCTGTGCGCGAATATACCCATTTCATGACGCTACGTCTGAGACTAGCTCACAGTTCGCTAGATATGGCTTTCCAGTCATCTTCATTCAACGCTACGAGCTCATTCAAACGATATATGACATGATCAAAGACAAATCCAAGATCTTAACCAACAAGAAGGTGGTGCAATATGAAGATGATGGTACGAAAGTCGTAGTGAAAACCGAAGACGGAGCTTCCTACGAGGGCACCATTCTCGTTGGAGCAGATGGCATACACAGTACCGTGAGGAAGCTTATGCGGCAAGCTGCTGATAACAAGAAAAGGGGTTCAGGTGCATCCCTAGAGACTTCCGACGGAGGTATTATTCCACCGAGCCACATCTCCCTTTATACATTAACTAAAATATGTATAGGAAAGCCCGGATTCAGTACAAAGTATAAGTGTCTGTTTGGCATCTCACGCACCAACGACACTGTATGCACAATGCCTCCTGGGTATACCTACTGGTCATACGGCAACAACTATTCAACCACGGTGACCTACGGAGAGCCGGGGCTGATCTTTTGGTTTCTTTGGACCCCAATAGACAAGGTACAGAGTATTAACTCGCCACGCTATACAGAGAAGGATGCAGAAGATTTAGTAGAGGAGTTCAGGAACAAGAAGATGTGTGGCGAATTCTCGATCGGAGACGCATGGGATGCACGTGTTCGTGCTAACCTCTTCGCTCAAGAAGAAGGTATCCTCGACCAATGGAGCTATGGAAGAGCAGTACTCATTGGCGACGCTATTCATAAGGTCAGAGCAAATAGCGTACCTTTGGATTGAGCTATTGGTGGACTAGTACTAACATCTATACAGATGAGTGCCAATGCTGGTTTAGGTGCAATGACTGCATTCGAGGGAATTGTACACCTTGTCGATCATCTACGTCCTGCTCTTAGTCCAGAACCAGGTCAAACCAAGTCGACACCAACAGAGGAGGAGTGCAACCAGATCTTTGCAGCATACAAGAGGGATCATATGCCTCGTGCAAAAATGCTTGTCGACACTTCAAAATATTGCATCCGTTTCGAAGCACGCGCCAATTGGTTCTATAGCTTACTAGCGACGTACATTATGCCGATGTTCAGCAATATCGGCCGACAATTCCTGGCAGACAGGCTTTTCACTGGATCACCAACATTCAGTCATTTACCAGTGGATATGACGAAACCTATCAATTGTACCAACAGCAGCTTGAAGTCTCGCGCGCCCAGGGTTAAATGAGGCTCGGTCTTGACGAAAAATACTTAATGACCTCGAGAAACATGCTCATGGAACCTTCCACACGCTAGCTGAAACGTTATATATTATGCGTCAAAGGCGCTTCTTGCACTTACTCACAGGATGGATACAGAATTATGCGCGTTTGCTCCGGCCTCGTCCTGGAGCAGTGCTTGATTTGGACCGGACTGGATTTCGACTCATCTGCTTCGGACTGGATTGACAGCTGCTATGGATTGGATCTGAGGTGTTTGGAGCTCCTGGAGCTCCAATGGTCATACCTAATTCGGCAATAGTGCACCCGGTCTTGGCGTTTTCATTGGCTGAGAAGCTCTCATACGAAGACTAACCAGGAATGTGACACAGTAGCAAATACACACGACAAACGCGCCCCAGAGCATTCCTTATATGTACACAAATAATTCTATATAACTCCGTAGACAACTAGTGGCTCGCCTTCCTCAGTCGCTATCATCACCCTTTCCTATCATGCCACATATATTTCGATTATTAGGTGGTGCCGCGCCATCTCACAGTGAAGATATCGTTCTTGCTCCTCTATCCATTAATCCTCGACCTGAGCCTACCCTCCAGCTATATAAGTTTAAGCTACAAGGTAAAGCCTATGTGCGGTGTTGCTCGTTGGCAAAGAACCCCAAGTTAACGAAGAAGCGGAACTCGATTATCTAGATTTATGGTAAAGATATCTAGCTTCGACGAATTCAGTAAAGAGGTTTTGGTACTGCTACCTATATATTACGACGGTTAAGGAATAGGTCATCTTATGCGGGCACCCTCGGGGGACCCTAGGGGTGTTAACGGGAAGGTATACCGGCAAGGCTATAAGAGGCTAAGGCACGTAACTAGGGAGCCGGATTAGGAAATAATTATAGTCTATAGGGCTATAGGCTACTAGAGCAAGGAAGTATAGAAATATAGACGACGCTCTAGTATTATATATATATACTTATTACCCTAGATAGGACTATTCGTAGTTAACTTCGTTAGTAATTCTATACCTATATTTAGGATATAGTCCGACGATTATATATTCCCTTTATTATCTTAGTTAATACTCTAGTACTAGCTCTATTAAGGAACTCTACCTTAGTTAAAACTACTTATAGCTCGAATTATAATACTTTAATTACTACTTAATTAGTATTAAATATTTAACGTAGAATCCTCTTAAATTAGATTCCTACTATCTAGCGTACGTCTACTCGTAACCTTAAAAAATTCTTTAAAGACTAATATTATTTAAGATAGTAGTTCTAACGAAGACTTAGACGTAGATATAGTTAACGTACTAGAACTTACTAATATATCTAGAGATAGTATTAAGATAGAACTATTCTATAGGAATAGGGAAAAGCTAGGATACTTTCTTATATAATTTAAGACTACCTTTAAGCTTAATTTAACTAAGTATACTAGGGTAGAGGATAAGATTATATCTATAGTAATATATCTTAAAGGAGTAGCGTTCTATTAGTTTAAACTAGTATAGGACGACTACTTCGAGTCCTTTAGTCCCGATAATAAAACTAAAGTATACTTTAGGAACTTTATATAGTTCGAGATAATAATTAAATAAATCTATAGTATAATTAATAAAGCTATAGTAGCCTCTTATACTATATATACCCTTAAATAAATAGAATCTATAGCTAATTATTATTCGAAATTTAAGAAGCTAGTAAAGAAACTAAAGTATACGAACGATAATATCTTTAAAAATATATTCTATAATAGATTAAAGAAGAAGATTAGGAAGGAAATAATAGAGCGCCTAGGAATATATAAAAATATAGTAGATAAGGCTATTAAGCTTAATAATTAACTATACGAACTATATATAGAAGAGAATTAAGGAAGAAGCTTAGAAAGGCGAGAGTATCGAGAATATTAATATTCTCTTCGAGTTAATATAGAACGCCTAGGAGACTATAAAAACTCTATAGACCTAGATACTATAGAACGTTATAATACTCGACGAATAGACCTAAATAGAAGTCGGAATATAGAGCGAAAGATTATAGAAGAACGAAATTAAGAGAAGAAAAGATAAAGAAAGGAAAATCTATACTATAAATATAGTAAGTTCGAATACTATATATATAATTATCTAGAAAAGAAGAGTACTTAAGGACTATATATAATAAATATATAGAGTAGTAGTATAGATAATATAATAGCGAAAAAGGCCGATACTATTAAAGAAATCTAAAGATTTATTAAGAGTAGAAGTAAACTAATATAGAAGAACTACTAGAAATTAAATAACCTTTAAGAGTTAAGTAAGTTAAATATTAAATAATTAAAAGAAGAATTCTAGTTAAGATATTAAATTAAGAAGCCTAAAGAATCTAAGCGTAAGACTTAAAAGAAAGAAAAGTTCGACGAACTTCTAAAGAAAGAATAATAAGATAAAGTAATATATAATACGAGGAGAAATACTATAAGATACGCTTAGAAATTATAGTATTTCTATTATAAGAATAACTATTAATTCTATTTAGCTTTAAAGATCGAAAAATAGTAGTTTCTATATAAAGATAGAGGAAGAATAAAGCTTTATATCTAGGGAATAAGTTTTAAGATTTATAGTAGAAGTAGCCGAAGACCGTAGAAAGAAGGAGTAGAATATATAGTCGCTTTCTATCTTATTAAATAACTTAAGATCTATCTAAGTAAAGG